AGAGAGAGAGAGAGAGAGAGAGAGAGTACAAGGATTTCTTTCACGCGGATAATTTATTGAGATGTATCGCGAACCGTACGCGGATGATCGTTCGTGCAGACCTATTTCAACGAGGTGAGGAGCAGGCAATTTAAATTCCTCCCGTGTACACGCGGTGTCTCTCGTTGAAACTGGATCTCCTTCTTACGCTCGATCGTTTGTTCTTTTCCTTCCCTCTTTTTTTCTTCTTTTTTTTTTTCCTTTTCTTTCCTTCCGATTTGCATAAACCGAGTTCGAGGCGAAAGTTTCTAGAGAAAGAACGTATCAGCCTAATTAAGTTTCATTAAATCAACGAATCAATCGTGAGAACTGGAGAATTTTCTCAGTTGTAAATCTTCGGCGACCGCCGGTTATTAATGGACGTGTCTTGTGGCAAGCGCAAGTTATACGCGTAGGTTTCGTGGAGAAAAATAACACACGCTATTATGGTTACTATTTAAACACATTGAAACGGAATCATAGGATTTTTCACTGCCGTCGACTTCTTATGATAATCGGACAGTAGTTTCCACTCTCATCCTACGCAGCTAATTACACTTGTGCAAAATGTCAAACGTGTGGCTGTTTTTTCCTGCCGGTGCATACTAATTAGTATCGCGATCGATATTTTTTTCACGTTACATATGCCGATACAAGCTATTATTACGTTCCGTTATTGAACAAACTCTTAACACACATATTAACGTGCCAATGAGAGAATAGAAATGAGACGTTCAACTCCCACATAGCTGCTTGCGAATTGACGTGATCACAGCCAATCATTACGCAGATGGAATATGGCAATGAAAACACTTTGCATCGAATCCTTTCATTTTCTGAAGGTGATTCGAAGTGAGCGCGCGTGACCGCGTGGATCTCACATCGATCATCGGGTCCTATAAAATTTATATACACTTCCGTTTAACGCAAATGGATATTGTAATTACGAACTGACAGCATTTACATATTAACGACATTATGGCATTTTAAAGGAAAACGATAAGTTTACGCTGTCTCTTGAACTCATGTTATTTGTCTTGTTGACGCGAAATTTTTACACTTTGCTCGCGATACAGGCACAACGGGATATTTAATTTTTCCGTCACAAAACGAAAGTGCAACGAAAGCCTTCCATTTCGCAGCGTTTAGAGATTAACTCGAGTTGGAGATGTGCGACGAGCCGACAAGCTTCGATTTGCAAAGTTTGCAGGAATCTCTCTCGCGAGAGTGTGCACCTTGGCGAAATCGTCTATCGAGAATTGTGACCGAGAGTGGAGATCCTGGTTTTATCGTTGCGCGTATGTTTCCGTGTTCGCCTGGCGGGGCTCGATAAACGCCGAAGTTTTTTCGCGATTCCTCTCTTCTGCGAAGATTACCCGCGATTAACCGCTATCGCCGGCATCGATCTCGAAGCGGCGGAACGAGTCACAGGGAAAAGGAAGACGAGGAACTGAGCAGATAAAGAGAAAGATACAGAGGAAGGGGAAAGGAGGAAGCAAGAGAGATTAAGGTAGATGCGCGAGAAGATAGAGAGTACACGTCGCCATCGGCTTGCATTCGCTTCGATTGTCCTTTTTAATTAGTCCCCGATCTCTCGGTGCCCGGTCAGCTACGTCGAGCAGATTCGAGCGTGTCTTCTTAATTGTTAATGGGAGTTACGCCCATTCGAGGTCTCGAGAACGAGTTTCGATCGGGCCGCGCCGCAGCCTCGAGACGAGAGAAGATTTCCAAATGCTCGACCGATGTCCCGAAGCGTTGAAACGATCCAACGAACCCGATCAACAGCGATCTGCGATTTGTACTCACAAAAACGTGCCACCGATTGTTCCCGATTCCACGCGTTATTATAAAGCTCGGACGTGCCTGCGATTCCCCGCTGTTCATCGCTGTTCTTGTCTTCTTCCTTTTCGCCTTCGTCCGACGAAGAATTTCAATTGGAAAACGACTCGTTTAGTCGTAAAACACTCGGTCGGGATTTTTTATGCTAATGGAGTGCGTCGCGTGTGGCAAGTCAAAGAACCGGAGCAGGAGTTTAGATCGCGATCTAAGTAGCTTCAGTGTCAAATTGGCCATTACGAAGCCGGTACTCATCGGCAAGATGCTTTCTCATTTGTTGCTGGCGATCAGAGCGTTTGAACCGCTACCAGTTATTATGCCCCAAGGGAACGAGAGTAAAAAGACGCGTTTATCGTGAATGTCCGCCGCGCGGCGTAATAACGCGGCCACGACGACACGAGCGTCGTCCCAGCCGATCAAAGTTCTCCGTTGCGACACGCCGTCTTTTAAGAGGTATTACCGTGCAAAATGCCACAGGATGATCCACCACAGCTCCTTTTACGCGGGCTTCCTCTCGCCGGCGTAATCGTCCCGTTAAAAACGAAACGACTTCACGCAACGACAGGGGCTGCAATATAAATCAATGCATGCGCGTGATTATTACCGCTGGAAATTGCACGAATTATTCCTGATCGCGTCGCGGCCCGGACTTTAATCGAATCTCGCTGAGATTAAAGCGATTGTCCCTTCCCCCCC